AAATACAAGAAGTCATGTAGTTTGAAAAATAATTTTGCTCTGTGAATTTAAATATTTGTTTCAGGATAGTTCTGTTTCATTATTCTTTGATTATTATGCCTGATCAATTGGATCTGGTCTTCCCTGGAGCTATATCAATTATCATTTTGGCTCCAAATTTTCAATTTGAATCTTTATTCTTTTTCATTTTTAATCTGTTTTCTTCTTTCATCAATTTTATCACCTTTATCTTTGTTCTCTGAATACCTGGAGAATTTGTTCACTCATTCTTCCATGTATACTCATTACAATGATATTGATTGTTACATATCAAGAATACCAAATGGCAGCATTAACTTGGGTTTAGACTAGCTAGGTTTCTAGAGTAACTTTAAATGTAAATGGTGAGTAAGCAGTGCCAATGGAAGGTTACTATAATCTGAGTATTTTGTCCCCTCAAAATTTGTGTATTAAAATGAATGAGGGCAGAGCCCTCATGAATGGAATTCGTGTCCTGACAAAAGTGGTCAGAGAGAGCACCCTTGCGCTTTCTGCGATGTGAGATTACAGTGAGAAGGCAGCTATGTCCACAAGGAATCAGGCCTTGCCAGACACCAAATCTGCTGATTCCTTGATCTTGGACTTCCTAGCCTCTAGAACTGTGAGAAATAGATTTCTGTTGTCTGTAAGTCACCTAGTCTGTTGTATTTTGATAATAATACTCAGCAAACTAAGACACAGGTATGTTGGGGGGGGGGATTAAAAGGTTGGGGGAATTAAGGGACTGGATCAGAGTCAGGGTGGAGAGAGAGAGTCAGGGTGGAGAGAGAGTGTTCTACAAAGAAATAATAGCACATACCAAGGTCTGAACCAAGCAATTTTGATGCCTTCCTAAAAGAGTCCCTAAAAGTTTCATTGTTTGAGCTGGAGAATTTCTACAGGTAAGGCTATACATGTGAGGCTTAGGTCGTAAAAGTCCTTGCATGCCAATTTAAGCAATTTGGACTCTGCCCTGAAGCAAATAGATGCATGATCAGTGGGTTTAAGCAGTAGAGAAACATGATCAGCTTTGCTGCATTAGAAAGAACTTATGGCTGCAACCTTGATTTCCATGGTATACATATGCACATCATGGCTAATTTCAAGCTACCAATATGACGTTCTGAACACAGAGTAGTAAAAAGATGTCCAGGAGAACATTGTTATATAGGAGTTCTGTTGTATAGATACCACAGATAAAGAGAAGATCTAAAAGTTTTGTTCTAGGTGGAAAGAACACATTACTTATAGGAAAAAATCATCAGACTCACATCATACTACTCCTTTTCAAAATCAGAAGCCAGAAAAGAGTGAGATCACATCTATAAACTACTGCTAGAAAAGATATGTCACTGAAAATATCTATATCCAGTGAATACACTTTTCAAATATGCAGGCAAATTTGTTGATTTGATAACATGCAAGGACTCAGGGACTCTATTACCTGAGACCCCCTTTTAAGGAGATTATATAAGAGAACTCTTAACGAAATAACAATTGAGTCAGAAGACGATTTCAAGATGATAGTGGTAATAAATAAGTAAATATGTGTATTAAATCTACATGGATATGGATGGATGGGAGTTTGTCTAATTCTCTAAGTGAGAATAGAGAGAATCCTTCTGTGAGGGGAAACCAAATAGTACTGGGGAAGGTGTAAAAGAGATACAAGCATTCTGAGGATCTCATTAGAGATTTTCAAAGTTCCATGGGGTGGAGAGAAATTAGGAATATACAGAGCACTGTATTGTGTAAAAAAATTGGTATCTGGTTTTCACTTAACAGTAGAAAAATGACAACCAGAAAACACAGAAGAAACAAGAAGAGGGCGGTGCCTGTGGCTCAAAGGAATAAGGCGCTGGCCCCATATGCCGGAGATGGTGGGTTCAAACCCAGTCCCAGCCAAAAACTGAGGAAAAAAAAAGAAACAAGAAGAAGCAAAAAAGTAAACAGAGAATGTAAAGTTAAGATTGTTGGGGGTAAAATCAAGTACATTACTTGTTATACAAAAGATGAACAAGCTAAATCCTTCTATTTGTAGAAAATAACTGTCAGATTAGGGTAAACCCAAGCATATGTTGTATATATAAAGCAAAAAAAATTGGTAAAAAATCTGATAAAAAGAATTACATATTG